TTCCAATCTGACCTCAGTATCAATTTCTTGAGGAACAAAAGTCTGAACTTCATCACAATTCTCCCCCTCAATTTCAGACTCAAGGGAAAAATATATGAAGGTCTCATGAAAAACTACATCTATAGTAATAAACATTTGCTTGGTTTGTGGATTGTAGCACCAATATCCTTTTTGGTGATCCGCATAGCCAAGGAACACACACCTTTCAGCTCTAGGAGACAACTTACTTCTCTGATGCTTTTGTAAGTGAACATAAGCAACACAACCAAAAACTCTATGTGCTAGTTAAACAATTCTAGGACTTACTACTGCATTTGTAAGTGATTGAAGAAGTATTTTATACTCAAGAGACCTGGACGGTGTTCGATTGATAGTATATACTGCATATGCAAGAGCTTCTCCCCAATATATTACTGGCATGTGAACTCCAATCAGTGCAGCTCGGACCACCTCCAATAGATGATGGTTCTTTCATTCTGTCACCCCATTCTGTTGTGGAGTATTTGGACAAGATCTCTGATGAACAATTCCTTTGGCTACTAAAAAATGTTGAAGTTCGGATTGCATATATTCTCCTCTGTTGTCACTGCGCAGTACCTAAACTTGTGTTTTGTACTAGGTCTCAACCATTTTGCAAAATTTTATGAAATAGTCCTCCATCTTCACTTTTAGATTTCATCAAACATAACTAAGTCATTCGAGTACAATCATTAATAAACGTTACAAACCACGTTAAGTCACACAACGTTGTAACCTTAGATGGACCCCATACATAAGAGTGAATGATCATAAAAGGAAGAGAACTTTTATTTGAAATTAAAGGAAAATATGTTATGTGACTCTTTGCAAGCTCACAAACATCACAATATAGAGTTGAAGTGTCTACTTGGTCAAATATATTTGGAAATAATTTCTTTATGTAACCAAAAGATACATGTCCTAGACGCTTATGTCATAACCAAATATCCTCACCTTTTCTCACTTCTTGAGACCCTTTTGTTACTAGTACTTGACCAAGTCTCTTTGAATCTTTTTCTATCAGGTCCAGGTAATATAATCTTCCTCGCCTAATACCACAACCAATCGTCTTCCTCGTTTGAATGTCTTTAAAAACACAAGAGTCAGGCCAAAAAATCATAACACATAAAAGGGTTTTGGTTATTTGCGAGACTGAAAATAGGTTATATTTAAGATAAAGAACAACAAGGACAATATCAAGGTTCAAATTGTTTGAAATAGAGACAGTTCCTTCTCTAATGATAGTGGATTTACTACCATTGGCTATGGAAATACTTTTTTGTGAGAAAGGTTTAAGATTTTTAATCTATCTAACATAAAAAATCACATGATCAGAACACGCATAGTCAATTATCCATTCATTATTCAGAATGGTAGATGTGCTTATTAAGGCCTTACCATTGGAATCATCACTACCTGCGGTTATAGCAAGCATCATGCCTTTGTCGTCCTCTTTGCCAATGGAAATTACAGCATCAATTTTTCGTCAGACTATCTCTCCGGATCAATGCATAACATTCTTCTAAATCAGGTGTTACTTCTTTGCGCAAAATTTCTCCACGAACTTGCTCAAAATCATCAACCAATCCAGCAAGGAATATATGCACCCTCAATCTTTCAATGAACTTCTGATATGACTTCACATCATCAGGGTCCATCATTTCTACTTTGTCACGATGGTCCAATTTCCTAAAAATCTCAACTAATTCCCCATAATATTCAGTTAGGGTTCTATTATTTTGTTTTGCAGTGAATGTCCTTTGATTTAGAAGAAACACATGTAGCTCATCACTTTCATCATAAAACGCCTTTGACAAAACATTCCAAATATCGAGGACAGTGGGTAAGTGAAGATACCTCTTTATGATTTCTGGCTTCATGGACATCAGTAGCCATCTTTTCACTTTTTGGTTTTCAGCATACCATTTTTCATATCCCTCATCTTTCTCTGTTGGAGGCTTCACCTTCCCACGGATGTAGGACAATTTTTTCCTCTCTGCAATGTGCATCTTCATTAGTTGTTACCATACGTCATAGTTGGATTTATTTAGGATTATGCCTACGTTGAAGACATATTCAAATTGAACTACAATTGGAATTAGTTTTTCTGTCATCTCTCCAGTTAAGATCTCCAAGGATTTAGAAAGAAAAAGAAAAAATTCTGAGCTCTGATACCAAATTAAAAAACATTGAATTCATTCTATAATTTTATTCATATATGTTTTGGATACATATACCATGTTTTTATAGTATTTTACTCCTACAAATTAATACTAAATAAAGTAAGTTCTGATTATGCACTATTTTGTACATCTATACAAACCTATAATTTGACTAATGAAATATCTTCATCTTAACATTCTCTACCATAATATCGTCAAGTCCTTCAAAACTAATCTCGGGTATCACTACCTCTGTTATTTGAGGACTCATGGACTAGTAAGGTCCACCATTCATGTCTTTCTCCCAAAGGAGGTAATTTTAAAAGGAAATGGGTTAGAAATTGAGCTTTTATGGGTCCTTGTCTTTCATAAGATATGTCAAACTCAAATAATTCTACCACCCAAGCTATTATTCTTTTGATCAATTCGAGGTTTTGTAAGATTTGTCTTATGGGGTATTAATTTTTTACTATTATCGGAAAGTTTTGGAAATAATGTCTTACTTTGCATTGAGGTTACCAAGGCTAGAATGAGATTTTTCAACCAAATTTTGCTTGTTGTTAGCATCACATACTAACATCAAGCTATTGTTTGAATTAGAGACAACTAGGTATACTAGAAGGGTACTTTCAGGATGTGGACTAGTTAGAGTGGGTAAATAGGTTAAATCATTTTTTATTTATTGAAACATTTCATTGCATTCATTGTTCCAGTCAAATTTTTTAGTTGTTCTGAGCAACTTGAAGAATGGTTTTGCTTTCTCAGCTAACTTAGGAATGAACCAAGCTAAAGAGACTAGTTTTCCACATAATCTGTGTACCTCCTTCACGTTTTGAGGATTCTACATGGCAAGTATGGCTTCACATTTGTCAGGATTTGATCAATTTCTCTTTGTCTAATAATAAAACCTAAAAAATTTCCACCATTAACCCCAAACACATTTTTTTGGGTTAAGTCTCATGTTATGTTTTCTCACCTTGATAAAAACTTTTTCTAGGTTTGTAGACCCCAAATCTTGCCCCGCCTCCAAATAAAGAGAAGAAGACCTCCTATTCGAAGATGGATGAAACCTAACAAGCCACTAGGAGAGACTATTAGGCCCCATACTAGGATAGGAGGAGTTTTCTGTACAAAAAATAAGTTTTCTCGCCTTTTTGGGACGAGACCGCCGTCTCAAAATCGAGACCGCCGTCTCGCCTCAGGCAAGTGGCGAGACGGCGGTCTCGCTTTCCCAGACGGTGGTCTCGTCACCTGTGAAGGACGAGACGGCGGTCTCGTTTGGCGAGACGGCGGTCTCGCCACCTGCGCAGGACGAGACGGCGGTCTCGTTTGGCGAGACGGTGGTCTCGACCTTGTCAGACGAGAACGGCGGTCTCGCCACTGCCAGGCACGAAAACCTATAAATAGGGGTCTCCCCCCCCCCCCTAATTTTCACACACCACACAGCTTTTGCTCTCCCTTCTCTCTAAAACTTCTCTCTAGAATCCCTCCGACGCATTTCCGGAGCTTCTGAGTGCCTTTGTGAGCGGTTTTCGGCGTCTAGAAGAGTTTCCAACATCGTGTAGAGTGAAGAGCTGCCAAAAAGCACCCTCTCTTTTTTAAAGAAATAAAAAGAAAGCTTGCTTCGTAGGTTTAAATTCTCCATCTCTACTTTTACTGCTTTAATTTTAAATTATGCAATAGATTAGGGCCATGTAGTCATAATTTTAAATTCCGCAAAATAAAAAGGGCAAAAGCGTATTTTTCCGGTTTATTTATTAACAAAGTAACTGGCCTATCATAGGGAACCCGAAAGGGGCGTAGTAAAGGAACTAATACTTCCTTTACACGTAACTAACTCCCTTACCCAACTCTGGTTCTAATGACCAAAGTTAGTTTTCGAAAACCAACGCCTTTTAAAACCCCTTTTCCGATGTTTCCGGTAAAAACATCGATGGCGACTCCACAAAACCCTATAAAATTAGTCCTTGGGTTAGCCCGGTTATCGGACAACCCAAGGACGCCCTTTCGAAAACATCGCCCCTAGGTTAACCCGGTTATCGAACAACCTAAAGGCGTTGTAACCACCCATAAAAAATGCGAAAATCAAGAGGGTCGAAACCATCGCGTCGCTCCGACCGCCATCTCTCTTTTTGACGGCGGCGACAAGGTTAAATCATATTATAGTTATAAGTAAGATATTTTTCTTCCATCAATTTAGACATTATATAAAACATAAGGATATTCATTAAATACAAAATACAAAATATTCATTAAGTATAAAAATATTTAAAGACGTTCCAATACAAGTTGATCATCTACCACTATTTTCTCCATATCAAAAAGCCTGGTGTCAATGTTGGGACTATGAACAACATCCTTTTTAAATCTATCCTCATATACTTCCATTAGCTACTCCTCAACTACTTGGAGATCGACAACATGCTTAGCACATGTTTGTTGAAGATAAGTGGCCTTCATTTCAAGTAGCTCTACCCTTTCATGGCCACCTTAAGATCAACTTTGACTTTTTTTTGTGCAAGTTTAGCAACCTGGGTCGAACTCTGCCTTCTCGGTGCTCTCTATTAAAGATTTTTTTTTCTAAAGTAAGAGCCTTATTCTCTAAAATAAGAACTTCATTTTCTTCGATCTTGGTAGAGACGACAACTTTAAAATCCACCATCTTCATAAGACTCCTTTTCCTCACGAAGAACGATTAATCTCTCATCTGTTGACCTTCGCCCTTATCAATATCAATCATGATATTCTTATACATGTGAATTATTTGACAAACGCAGACCCACTAGTACCTCCTTTGAGTCTAGGTTGTGTTGAGGTCCAATGGAGCGAATCATCCCAATGTCATGGACAAAGGAAGTGAAATACTTGTCATCATCTTGTCAGCGGTCATGTTTAAATGCCACATGGACTCAACTTTTGGATTGTTGTCCAAGACGGGTAAAGGGTCCCTCTAAACCATGTATGACATAGGTCAGCAGATGAGGAGGGGCTTCACAGGGAATCCATGGTCTTGTTGGAGAAGTTGGTGGAGATGGAGGATGTGTTGAAGCTCGAAAAAAGGCTAAAGTTTCTCTTTTTAATTCAGGTTGCTTGGTTCAACAGTGATTGGATTTTCAACCCTTTGTTTTTTCTAGGGAGCTAACTCTCTCCTTTCCTCTACAGGTCTATTGGTATGGGCGCCCTCGTGTCTAGCTTGAGTCCAACGATAGTCAAATTTAGGTTCCATGATTTCTATAGATGCTCGATACGAGACTTAAATTTATGAGGAATTCACCAGTGTAAAGGAAAACGCTAAGAATGGTCAAGATTAAGGAATAAATGGTGAGTAGTATAAATAAAACACGACCGGTGGAGAAAGCATAAACAATGGCAAGGGGAGGTGGTTAAAGTGCCTTAATCATAAAATTGGAGTGTGTGAAACTCCTTTCTCGAGTGGAATCCTAATCGATAGGGGAACTTCACGTTCACCTGTCAATGGTTGAACAAAACCATTCGAACTACTAGAGGAACTACAAGATACAGAAATAGAAGACATTATATGAAAAATTTGAGGGAAGAAGCAAAATGAGTGTACCTAGATTTTGAGGAAGAAGTAGATGAAGGAACTTAGGATGGGAATACGTACAAAAGAGTGTGAAGGTCAACAAGAAGAAGTAGTTGTAGAGTTTCACACATCTTTAGAAAACTAGACTAGTTTAATGTCATGTACAACTTTAACCAAAAAGTTGACTAAAGGCTCAAGTACATTTCTACCTTGGTTATCCCATCGAATATCTCTCTTTCACGAACTATGGAATCAAGAATACATTCTTGCTTTGTCGCAAATATAATGGAGGAACCCCTCCCTTTACATTGGAAACCTTCGGCCATAGGAAAGCCACTCATGTGACACAAGTCAACATTTCTGAAAACACATTACAAACACGGATAAAACTAGTTCAATTGAGTTCTTTATGTAAATCATTATGTGGTTTTTTTACGTTTCTAATTCATTCTAGAATACTACACTACAAGATCTTTAGATTATTGATTCTCACATAATAACATACATGAATCATAATAAGAAAACTAACTTTGATCCATGAAAATCTATTCTTTAATCTCTTTGTTTTCCAACTTCCTTTTCACAATCTATCTTTTTGCCTTTTGTTCTCCTTTCACACTTTCTTGATGGTTTTCTGTGAAAAGAGCCTTATGGTCAGAGACAGAACCCTAATTCTCTTTCATTAACCAACGTCCATCAAGTTGGTTACCGTAAGTTTTTATATTATTTTATCTTTATTTTATTCTGACTTTCCATAATAACCAATAGGTCCTTATATTTTATTAAATCACATTTTGACTCATCATTATATTTCACATGAATCACATATAATTAATTAATTTAATTAATTCTAACATTCTCCCACTTGACTCATGTGATGTCATACCATTCCGTGATTTAATACTTAATACATTATGCACATTAAAGGACCTTACATAAATTAGTTCTATCATTATTCATAATTAAAGATACAACTATAATAAGAGTCATAACAGTTACATGTCATTCAGTCGACATGTTCCCTTCCATGTACTATTATATTATCTTTTTCTCCTTAATATGATTTTATAACAAGAAGTCCATAATGGGTTCAAACATAATATCATTTCAATAATAATAACATAATTTGTTTTCTTCATCATCATTTGCATGCATATAAATAAAGTATAAAACACAAATTTTAGAAACTTATACATTAAAGATCTCAAAGTGTCACATAAGCATTAATAATAACATTAACATTCAACATTCACAAGTAAACATAACGCTTATATTCACTATATGGCCAGCAAACAACTTAGACGATAATCCCTTTGTTAAAGGATTAACCATCATAAGATCAATGTTAATATGTTCTATTAACGCGCTTCGTTTTTGAATTTCTTCTTTAACATCAAAATATTTCAATTTCATATGCTTAACACATTTGGAATACTTGTCATTCTTAGAAAAGAAGACTGTTGCGAAACTATCACAAAAAAATTTCAGCGGTTTGGCGATGCTATTGACTACTCCAAGGCTTAAAATAAAATTTCGCAACCAATTAGCTTGAACTATGGCCTCAAAGCATGTCACAAATTCAACTTCCATGGTGGATGCAGCAATGACAAACTGCTTCACACTTTTCCATGAAATTTCACCTCCACCTAAAAGATGTACATAACCAAATATAGACTTTCATGTATCCATACAACCAGCAAAATCTTAATTTGTATATCCAATCACCTCAAGGTGATCAATTTTCCTATAAGTAAGCATGTGGTTCTTTGTTCCTTGTAAGTATCTTAAGACTTTTTTTGCAACTTTCCAATGATCCAGTCCAAAATGACTCTGATATCTACCCAACATACCAACTACAAAACTAATATCTTGCCTCGTACATGTTTGAGCATACATCAAACTCCCAACAACAAATGTATAAGTGATATTTTTCATCTGTTTCCATTTTAAGTCATTCTTTGGACATTGAATAAGACTAAATTTATCTCCTTTCTATATTGGAACGAGAGATGTTGAACATTTCTTCATTATGCATTTCTTTAAAACTTTATTAATATATGCTTTATGAGAAAAACCTAACAATCCTTGTGATTTATCACGAAATATTTTTATTCCTATCACATAGTATGTCTTACCCATATCTTTCACTTCAAAATTGTTAGAGAGAAACTTTTTAATCTCACATAATAGACCAAGATCATTAGTCGCAAGAAATATATCATCAACATACAAAATAAAAAATATAAACTTGCTCCCACTGAACTTCAGATATATACACTGATCAACAATGTTTTCCTTAAATCAAAAGGACAGAATAATATCATTGAACTTAAGATACCATTGTTGAGAAGTTTGTTTAAGTCCATATATTAATTTCTTAAGTTTACACACCATGTGTTCCCTTCCTTCTTTAATAAACCCCACCGGTTGGTCCATATAAACATCCTCCTCTAAATCCCCATTCAGAAAGACAGTTTTAACATCCATTTAATGCAACTCAAGATCATAATGAGCTACTAATACCATGATAATTCTAAAAGAATATTAAAATGTTTCCTTATAATCAATGTCATCTTTCTGAGTAAAACCTTTGGCAACAAGTTGAGCCTTGTAACGTTCGATATTGTCATGAGAGTCACACTTAGTCTTAAAGACCCATTTTCGTCCAACACTCTTGCATCCTTCTAGTAATTCCACAAGATCCCATACACCATTATGTGTCATTGATTTAAGTTCATCTTTCATAGCATCTAACCATTGGTCAGAATTATCACCATTAATGACTTATGAAAATGAAACTAGGTCAATATGAATAATTAAGTCATCTACTGAATCTTGTAGATAAACCACATAATCATTTGAAATAGCAGACTTTCTTTCTCTATGAGATCTTCTTAATACTATTTATTGTGATTGTTCTGTTATCGACTCATTGTTAATCTCGGGATCATTAATTTGTTATTTTTCTTGATTGTTGTGTGGTTTTACAACATATGAAACAACAACTCTTGAAGAAGATGTACTAATTATAGAAACTTGTACTCTAACTTCCTTAATCTCCACATTTCGTGAAGCTTTACTCCCACTGGTTTCACCATTTTTAATGAATTGGAGCATTTTCAGTTTCAACAATTCTTGTACTATAGGTAGGACAGTAAAACATATACCCTTTTGACTTTTACTGGATAACCAATGAAATATTCACTAATTGTTCTTGCATCCAGTTTCTTTTCTTGCAGATTGTAAATTCTTAGTTCTACCTAACAACCCCAAACATGCAGGTGTCTCAAACTAGGTTTCCTACTTGTCCATAACTCAAAAGGAGTCTTTTGAACAGTTTTACTAAGAATACTATTCAATAAATACATGACAGTTTTCAAAGCATACATCCATAATGATACAGGTAAACATGAATTACTTAACATATTCCTAAGCATATCCATTAAGGTTCAATTACGCCTTTCAAACATACCATTTTGCTGTGGTGTGCCTGACATTGTGTATTGAGCACAAATACCACACTTCTCAAGGAACTTAGCAAACGAACCAAGGTGTTGTCCACTTTCATCATATTTTTCATAATACTCACCACATTTATCTGACATGACAATTTTCACCTTTCTGTCTAATTGCCTCTCCAATTTATTTATATAACATTCTAAGGCATCCACTGTTTGAGATTTCTCATGTAGTAAATAGACATATCCATAACGCGAGAAATCATCAATAAAGATGATGAAGCACCTTTCTTTATTAAAAGAATTTACATCAAATGGACCACATATATCAATATGTATGATTTCAAGAAGTTAAGTGCTTCTTGTAACTCCTTTCTTGGTCTATTTTGTTTATTTGCCTTTAATACAATCCATACATATATTCAGATCAATAAAATCTAAATCCAGAAAGATTTCATTTTTTATTAATCTTTGCATTCATTATTTGGAAATATGTCCTAAATGTTTATGCCACAAGTAAGCAAATCGTTCATCCACCAAATTGTGATGCAAGGTCATGAGAGTTTCGGTATATAAATTATCCAAATTCAATTTATATAAACCATCATAAAGTGTACCCGTTCCAATCATACAAGTACCCTTAAATAAACTAAAACAATCATTCCCAAACTTAAAAGAGTATCTAGCAACATCAAGCTTAGACAAAGAAACTAAATTCCTAGTGATACTAGGTACATAAAAAGTATCCATAAGGTCTAAGTGATATTCAGTGTCAAGGATTAAATGATAAGTCTCGATAACTTCCATTAGAACCTTCACTTTATTCCCCATGAAGACGAACTTCTCATCTGGGTTTATGGTTCAATTTGAAACAAATCCTTGCATCACATTAGAAACATGAGTCATACAACCAGAATCAATCCGCCAAGTATTATGGGGTACTTCATTTAAGCTTGATTCAAAACATACGTAAGCACTATGCTCACCTTTCTTTTCAAACCAAGTTTTATGCTTTAAGCAATCCTTTTGAAAATGTTCAGACTTCCCGTAGAAATGACATTTGTCATTTTTCTTCTGAATTTTAGTAGAGGACTCACTAATTTTTAATGGTCATTTACCCTTTCCATGTTTCTTAACAACTTTCTTTTCAGCTCCTTGATTTTTCACATAATGAATAGAGTGACTTCCTA